CTCAGAGCGCCCTACAAATGCCTGAGTTTGCTGGCCATGCTAGCTTTCGCTCTTTTGACCCTTCCCATCCACTATACCCCCTGCAACTTGATGCCTGTGTTGACTGGAATGCAGATACATCAGGAAAAACCCCTTGGCTGTATAGCATATTATAGCACTATAGAGTTCTATATAGTTGCTAAAGCTACTATAGTCTATATAGCCACATCAGGAAAAAGCCCTTGGCAGTATAGCACTTTATAGATGAGCCACATATTTTAGGTAGTTATAAAGCCACTATAGCTGCTATAGCACATCAAGGACTTGTACCAGTACTTCAAGCTTTGAGATCTAGGTGCTCAGTGGTCGCCTCACTACGTTAAACCAGGGAGGTTAAACTAGTTAAGCGAGTAAATGAAAGTTGATCTCAATTAGTCAAAGTGAAGGTGTGACTTTCATGTGATCTCGGAGTCAATGGATAAGAGTTAGCAGCCAATAACTATGTGCATGTAAAAATTATGAATCAAAATATAATAAAAATTACTCTGAGTCTCTGCCTTGCATTGCTGCAATCTGATCATGAATTTCAACCTCAACTCTGAAGCTCTGTTCACATCTCCCCCAGAAACCTATCAATTGATTGATAGTTCCAGGGCCATTGTGTGCAGACAGGTAATGAAAAAGATTCTTCAACAACAATGCCAAACTATTGTCCGAGTTGGGGTGATGACAAACATCTGGATCCACAGATTCAACACCCTCGAGAAGGTCACGAACAACAGGAAGGAACTCATGTGAGTGCTGGTCTGATAAATATTCTGATGAGCTGTTGTCTGAGGGTCCTGATGTGAGTTGATCTGAAGGGAAGTGATTGGATTTGGACTCGTCATCCAAGTCTGCAAAAAATTTCCATTTTCGTTGTCGCAGAGAGCCATGCTGTGTGATCATGTTGGATTTTACAAGAGCTTGCTTGCGAACCTTCTCAGGGTCGAGGCAATTTTGAAGCTTGGTGTGAATTGGCTGAACATGTGCTCCAACACAAGTCTACAGCAAATTGCACCTGCCGTGAACTTGGTCATGGTACTACAGGTATGGTCTCCCTATAAAATGGCCCATCTAAAGATCCAGGTGCTGGTAGTAAGTGAACATTGGCTAGCGGTGAAGGCAATGGAGATGGAGCTGCTGGTGTATCAACAGGAGGGATAAGCAATAGTGACATGGGTAAGGGACTGGGTAAGGGAATGGTAAGCAAACCGGGTGTCATCCGAGAAGTGCAGGAAGATGACGGTGCTTGACTGGAAGTAGTTCCATCCACCAAGGTCTTGATGTGATGCTCCGTTCATGGGCCTGTTCTTTGGCCCACTGATGTGTCTGCCCAGGTGCGTGAATGCAGGTGGTTGTGTGTTCCCAGAGGTCATTGACTTTGCCACAGATAGGCAGCTGAATTTCTTTGACTACACCATTGTCAGCCAGTTGAAATCATTGTTATTGAGCAAGAAATGTCACTCACTATTTTCAAATATATCTGCTTCCCTTTGTGGTGGTACTAAACGATCTCCAGATGCATATGCATTGACTTCGATGGTGAGGATTTCTCGCACTCGTGCAGTAATGCAATGTTTACATCGAGCTTCATGATGTGATTTGTATCCTTTATAGAGGCCTCATTTGTACCACTCATTCCACACCAGTGATAGTGCAGGCATTGTCTGTGGAAGGTTTACAATGTTGCAGAGTTTCCTAATTCTTTCAATGTTGATAATACTAATCAATAATTAGTTTTGCTAAGTACTTTATGGTCATGTGATCAGGCCATCTAGTGATGCCTTGACTTTTCAATAAGGTTCAACTATTTTGTTTAGTGTCGTCACTTTGTTAACCGAGTAAATGGTCAAGTGGTTAATGTTAATGCGACAACCACTGTAGACGCTAGCACCTAACTGCTAGGTATCAAGATTGACAGGGATTGCTCTAAGCACTCCATTACCATATCCCAACAACAGTACTGTCTAGATATCCTAGAGCATTTTGGTATGGCTGATTGCAAGCCCATCTCCACTCCTATGCAGCCCAATCTTTGACTCAGCTGCTCCCAGTCTCCACAGACTCCAGAAGAAGTCGAGTTCATGACATCCATCCCCTACTTAGCTGCAGTTGGTTCCCTCATGTATCTGGCCACTACAACTCCACTAGACATTGCATATACTGTTAGCTGTCTTGCTCGATTCAACCCAAATTCTGGCATAGCTCACTGGCAAGCTGTCAAACAGTTGTTGCACTACCTCAAGGGCACTGCAGACCATGGTATTAGCTATTGACCAGACTCCCTATCAACAGAACTGTTCTTGACATTCTCTGATGCTGATCATGGTGGATGCAAAGACACTGGGCGCTCTACTGGTGGATACTTGGTCAAGATTGGTACTGGCTTAGGGATGTGGTGCACAAAAAGCTGATTGCACCCACATTTTCTTAGATGATGCCTAGCGCTCATATTGGGATATATGAGGAAAATTGGTCACAGCCCTCATGCATGCTTAGCGCTGATAGTGGGAGATGTAATTGGCCAAAAGATTAACTCATGAAGTCTCCCACATCACCAGTAACCAAGGCCCGGTAGCTCAGTGTTTAGAGCTCCTGGTGCAGTTCCAGAAGGTCCTGGGTTCAAACCCCAGTCTGGCCATTCTTTTCTGTCAACCATTTCTAACAGATATGACCTTTGCTTCAAAATCTGCAGCTGCCATTGACCAGACAATCAAGGATCTGTCTCAGCACTTCAAGCTTTGTGATTTAGGCCCTACCACATAGTTGCTAGGCATTAAGATTGACAGGGATCACTCCAAGCACTCTATTAGGATATCCCAGAAGCAGTATTGCCTAGACATACTCGAGTGCTTTGGTATGGCTGATTGCAAGCCCATCTCCACTCCTATGTAGCCAAATCTTTGTACTGAGGCAGAGTACATTGCTGCAGTGTCTGCAGGCAAGGAGATTCGCTGGATGCACAACTTACTGCAAGAGATGGGATTTCCTGCACCTGAACCTTTGATACTCAGGATAGACAACCAGAGCGCTATCTCTGTGGCTAAACACCCAGAACACCATGGAAGGATGAAGCAACTGAACCTTAGCTTGTACTGGCTTACTAGGGATGTGGTGCACAAAGAGTTGATTGCACCTACATTTGTGCCTACTGCTGAACAACCTGATGACATCCTGACAAAGGCACTCCCTCGACCAAAGGTAGAGCTATTCTGTGGAATGATTGGACTTGGGACTTAGGTAGAAAGTTGTTGATATTAGAGATGTGCTCAGTCAGGGGGGACTGTTATGTTAATTGTGTTGACTTCAGACTCTATCTTATCTTTTACCCATTTGGACTGTTATGCCATGTTTGCTTACACATAGTATTTAATGAGGAGTTGCACAGCTTTGCCTCTTGTGCATTGACTGTCATCTCCAAGTCTGATTTGAATATGTTAGTTGTGGTGACTTCACACAAGGTTACTTCTTACCTGCCCTAGACTGTTATGGTCTATTTACCTACACAAGTATTTAATGTGGAGATGCACAGCTTTGCCCCTTGTGCATTGACTGTCATCTCCTAGCATGATTCAAATACTCCAATCCATTCAATGGGTAGTCTAGCACCAATGCCAATAGGAGAGTGTGCTCTAGGAGCTGGTTTTGGAGCTGGTGGAGGTGATGGAGTTCGAGGAGGATCTGGATCAACATGAGGCACTACTGGAGCTACTGGAGTGCCATTATTCCCCCCATGATCCATAGACTCATCAGAATTAGACTTATCATGAGTACTTGAGTGTTCAGAACTTGAGTTGGGTCAGAGTAATTGAAACTGGAGTCAGAGTCCAAGTCTGAGTCATCAGAGTCTCAGGGAATGTAGTATGGGGTCTCAAGCTGTTGTGGGGGTTGCAGCTTGGATACAGGCAGTGTAGGAGTGTTAGGCTGAACTATAGGAGGTGTAGGGAGAAGTATCTTTCGTCAAAGTCAGCCCTTTCAGATATCACAGTCTGTCAAAGAGAAAAGATGGCCGGGCTGGGGATTGAACCCAGGACCCTTTGGAACTGCACCAGGAGCTCTAACCACTGAGCTACCAGGCATTGTTGGTAGTTGGAGTACTAAGCCTCTTGACAAGATAGGACCACTGAATGTCTTAGTCCGAGGCTTGGATGCGCTTGTTAGGCGTCTTAGTCCATCCTCAGGATGCGTTACAGGATCTAGCTAACAAGTCATAAGGTTGATCAGATAAGCGCAGGCAGTGTTACTTCAACATCAGAAAAAATGCACATTGGATATATAGCCATAATGATCCATAGTGATCCATAATGGTCCATTATGGCTATATATGCCAAAAAGACAGTTATGGCCAAATAGACAAGGTGCCCCGTCTTAACAACTTATTATAATAGCTGCATTTTACTTTTACTATAGTTTGATCCATTATGACCATATATGCAAGGTCATAATTTTTCTGAGGACCTTGCCTATCTAGCCTTTCTAGCCATTCAAGTCAAAACACAAAAAAAGCAAAAATTCAAGTTATATTTCAAGTAACTACTACAACACATTTAAACTACTAACTACAAAGAGGCAAAAATGCGAAAAT